AATAAAAATGGTCAAATTATAGGTATAGGTTATAGATATATGCAAAGAACCCTTACCATATTACTAGTAATATAGCTCACTAAAATTGCAACAGAATGTAAAAAGAATGTCTGCATTTGAGCATAATGCCCACATAAATTAAATACAATTTTAATCATATCTTTCTAAAATAAAGGTATTCAAAACTGCTATAGCATGTTTTATCAATATCTGGACTACTACTGTAAAGCTAAAAATAAAATGGTAGAATCCATTCATTCCACCCTCCTCCACGATGGTAGGAATAATGACCCTTTGAAACCTTATGTACTGTTTGAAAGCAGGGTGTGAAGAGACATGTTCACCAATTGTACCGGCATTATATCTGTGACTAGTGGCTTGTGGCAGAGTTTGTTGATATACGTTCTGTTAATCAGAACTAAAGTATAAATGTAGTTGAGTGAGGCTTCAGGGACTTATTTCATACTGCAAAATACATGAAAATAAACACAATTATACATAATATGGGTATTAAAGAGGTTAATGAGATTACAATAGAGATACATTGAAATTATTTAATAAACCTTTTGACATGCCATCCTGATAGGACATTAGTGTTTTATCGTTAGGGTTATCATATCCACCATGTTTTCAGGGACACATATCCCATATGCACATTGATGGACAGCAGATGAGAAAGGTAGCCCTGTAGTATGTAGAATTCAGAAGAAGGTGTATAAGATTAAGTAATTAGGCAATGAAGAATCCTGCAGAATATGAATTATACTTAGAGCAAGACAACCCTTTTAATGCATTTTCATAAATATGACAACATTAAATGTGTCCATGAAAACCCTGATTAAAGTAGGTCTAAAAAAACATTCTAAGTAACTTTTATATTAAATGAATAACATCACAATGCATTAGGAAAATAAATACATGCCATTTTAAAACCTAGCATTATTCTAATCAGGAAATGTAGCTGATGGGAAGATGGATAATAAAATATATTTAAACTACATACAATCGATAAAACACCATAGTGAGCATTTCATGCAGTGAGGAAGTGATGAGAAAGTTGCTCAAATACCAAATTACCATTCCTACAGTAATTTAACAGATGGAATATCGGAAAAGGTCAACTTCTATATCTATCTATTATTATTAAGTATCCAATTCTGGGGACAATTTGAAGCACAATACTTTACTTAATCAGTGGTTTAATGTTTAATTATACATCTCTATGGAAATTCAGCCTGTAGTCTGTTGCATGTAACAGAATGTGTTTAGAGCATCTGGTTTGATCTAATAACAGAGAAAGGAGCTTTAATTAGCCACTTAACCCCTGCTTGACTGTACAGTTATGCTCAAGCCTCTAAACAGAGTCCGCAAATTATTTTTTTATATCTTTAAAATAATCGTTTTCTGCTGCCAGGGATAAAATATGTATGTACTAAGAGAACACATAAGCTTACGTGTTGCATCATCCACAACAAAACTGAAACAATTAACGTGTCAAATTTACTTTTTAAATCATTCACTTATTCTCATTATATGTATTTGAATTGTCATCAGCTAAGCTACTATATTCTTATGTGTTTGTGTATCTTTTTCATATCAAAATAATTGGAACAATTAATGAGAAGACTGGAAATGTCCATTTAAGAATAATTATATTTTCGTTTTATGAATTTCTAAAATGTTGCTGGGTGCTTAGAGCTTTTTTTATTGTTATAATAAAAAAATAAAAAAATAATTACGTTAACAAGAGGTCTTTCAGAACTCTGGATTATGGTTGAAGAATACCTGTTAGAATGTCTCCCAACTAATGGTTATCTCTGCTCCGTAAATCCTAATAGATTATGTGATATTGCTTATTTGATTTTTAATTAATTGTTTCAGGTTTTTTATGACTATCTTTTAAATTTAAAGAATTACTTTGTGAACTCCCCATTACTCAATTATTATGTCCTCTGGTATATTGCCATGTGCAATACTATTCTTTTTCAGCTTTTTGTTTGTGATTCCTCCAAATAATTAGACTGGTACAGTTATTCTGCTCTATTGGCTTTTGACCTTGGCTCTGATGTACTGACTACGCTATTGCTGAGCCATTTATGATCTGACTTTGCTGTTTTCTGACCTTAGCTACAATATTCTGACTACTTTTTCAGCACAACTCTTCATGCTTTTACCCTACTTGTATCTAGCCCCTGGATCTGCTTTATCAAACATGATCTCAGATTGCCCTTTCTACTTCTGCCTCAGTTGGACAGATTCCTTTCTAACAAACCTTTCTCAATAAAGGACTTTATCTTTTACAAGTTTCTGCTATAAACTAAACCTGCTATAAATGAAACATCAACTAAACTTGATGTTGTTGACTGCATCTCCTCTGATGCTTAGTCAACATTAAGACTATAAGAGCATTATGGGACATGTAGTCTATATCATCTAAAGTGCCAGAGGTTGCCTACCCCTGTACCTATATTGCCTGCTTAATGTTGATTTCCAGATCAGTATAACTAAACACTGATCCTGCCAATACCTTCACTGTTCTAAACCAGCATGTGCTGAGAGATACCAGAGAAGGTTTAATACTGTGTATATTTATATTCTGTTTGCTGAATGATTTCTAGCATAATATCTAGCACCTTGTTTCATTTTTCTTTTAATCAAGCCAACACTTAATTTGTCTGTGGCCTCAAGTGTCATAGTTTATATCAAAAGTGATAAAGTTGATTTTATTTATGACTTAAAATATTGTGTCCTCCAATAATTGCACAGTGAATTGACAGACATTATAGTATTAAAATAGTATTTGAAATATGTTTTAATTTAGTTGTTTCACAAAAAGTATATCCCCATGAACATAGGGGAATTCATAGATGGTGAGATTAAACCACTTTGCGATGTTTGAGATTGTGCTTATTTTAATGTTTATTAGATTTGAGCCCCAGTAACTTTATATTGTTTTGTCTTTTCAATATACACTACGAAAATTAGAGCTGAATGTAGACAAAATAGAAGGGGTTGCCAACAATCAGCACTCCAGATGTTGTGGACTACATCTTCCTTGATGTTTTGCCAGCAGTATGGCTGTAAAAACATTAAGGGCGATGTAGTCCAAAACATCTGGAATACCAAATGTTGCCTACCACTTTGGTAAACTGTGCCTTGGATACACTATACCCTGAAGCAAACTCAGATGTCATAACAAATGACAAGAAAGGAAAGAAAAAAAGTATATTAATAAAATAGTTAGAATTGAATAATGATTAAGTGGTATGTAATATAGTTGCTAATACACTCTTTTTTTTGGATCTGCTGGGGTTATTATTCCGGTGCACCTGTGAACAACTCAGTTGCAGTCCTCCGTGTTTTTCTAATATACAAGATTGTTTGGTTTTCATGAAAAACATAGGCTCAGTATATAATTTTCATAAAGATATTTAATTAAAAAAGCAGTGATTTGCAAGCACTGCCCAAAATATTGGTGCCACTGAAATGATTCCAACATATACAAATGCATAACATTGTACAGCGCTAAGGAATCTGATGGCGCTATATAAATAGTAAAATAATAATAATAATAACAAATCCATCAGCGTACATATTATTCCATTCCAAATAATTCAGAACCATGGACAGAGATTGTAACATGAAAGGGTGCTAGTAATTTTTAATACCTGTACGTGTCAGTAAGTGTCAGTAGATTTCATTGTTTACGTATTTTAATTAACTGCATTTCTAGCCAGTGCCTTTTTACTAAGGAAAATTTGTGCACAATCTAATCCAAAATATGGGAAACACTACCAAAGAGTGGTATATGACATAAAACATTTTAACTAATCTGGAATAGTCAAATACCGTATTCACCCAAGAACTCAAATACAACTTCCTCAAATTTATTTGAACACAGCCTTGAACCTATTTAGGAACTTAAATTATTTAATTGAAAGAGGCCCAAACTGAAACACAAGTATAGTTTATGTCTGAACATGATCCCATGTAGTGCTTTTTAACCCTTTAGTGACCAGACCCTTTTTCAATTTTCTTACAGTTAAGGACCAGGGCTCTTTTTACATTTCTGCAGTGTTTGTGTTTAGCTGTAGTTTTCATCTTACTCATTTCCTGTACCCACACAAATTATATACTGTTTTTCTTACCATTAAATGGTCTTTCTAAAGATACATTATTTGCATCATATCATATAATTTACTATAAAAAACATTATAAAATATGATGAAAAAATTTAAAATAACCCACACTTTTTCTAACTTTGACACCCACAATCTGTTACACATCTACAACCGCCAAAAAACACCCGTACTGAATAGTTTCAAAATTTTGTCCTAAATTTAGAAATGTCCAATGTTAATATGGTCTTAGCTTTTTTTTTTTTTTAAGTTATAGGGCTATAAGTACAAGTATCACTTTGCTATATCCAAACCATTATTTTTTTTAAATTAACGCAAGTTACATTGTAACACGGATATCTGTCAGGAATCCCTGAATAACCCTTCACATGTATATATTTTTTAAAAGAAGACAACCTAAGGTATTAAACTTGGGGTATTTTGACTCTTTTCATGCAACCATTTTACCACCAATCTATGCCAAATTTAAAAAAATAATAATTGGTGATTTTTTTGACACACATAGCAATTTAAGAATACATTTCCGGAGAACCTTAAGGGTTACTGCCAAAGAACACCCCACTATGTGTTCAGCAACATTTCCTGAGTACAGTAATACCCCACATGTATAGGTGTGTTTTGTTTTCTGGGGGCTAAAAGACCTTATTTGGAGGGTGCGCATTCCAGTTTTCCAACTTGGAATTTTCTCAGATGGTCATCATGCACCCATGCTCTATTTGGGACATTTTTGAAGCTGACCAATGTAATTTATCCCCATCAAAAAAATACATTTTTGAAAAGTAGACACTCTAGGGTATTTCAGATGGTGGTATTTTTTTTTTTAATTCTTTATTTTTCTTGTGCATTTGATTACATAACAGAGGTATCTGTAGCGCCACAACAGCGATTACAGGCAGTTCAATGGCTTACATTGTCATGGCAGAAATAAACAGCACATTTTTTGTAATGAGAAAAATAACAGACTGGGAACACATGCTATATACAGGCTAGCTTTGTATGACTGTTGCGGTGGGTCCCGATGGGGTGTCGAGCTTGAGACAGTAAACATACAGTGGTACTAGAGATTGGAGTAGTCAAGTGCTTAGAGAGTGGGTTCAGGTTAAATTCGTAGTCATATTGAATAAGCACGGTTGCAGTTAGCAGTAACTTGGTGTACAACTACATTAAAAAGTTAAACTGTGTGTATTTAAGCTTAGACACAACATACAGCAGTTAACATTGCTAGAGTTAGCCTTCATTGTGTAGTCCTGTTTCTATTCACTCTGAGCCTAAAGGTACCCTGTCTAAAAACAATGGTTATGGTAACATTCAAAAGCAGTTAGTGGAATCTGTACATTTTTAAGATTATGGCACATATATATTCGAAGAGTACATGAACTGAATAACAGAGAACGTATAGCATGGCATAAGTTGGTGCCTAAAGTAGAATAAAATAAAATAAAATAGAATAGAATTTGTGATTACATTGGATATCCCTTTATTATGTCCTATTTCCTGGCGACCTATTCTTAGTATATGCGCATAGACCACCTGAAATGGGCAGTAATAGGTGCCTACAGCTGGTAATATAAAAACTGGTTAAACGTAAGGTGTGGATATCATTCTACATGGTACTCCCATAGGAGATGCATGGGTGCATGTCTAAGGTGGTGATTACAGTAGTAGCACAGGTTGGTAAGATTACATAGTTAGGCATATTGACTTAAATCCTGTGTCTGCATAAAAATAAGAGAATAAGCAAAATGGGAATTATAGCAGCGATCAGCCACTGGGAGTGTATATAGGTCGCTAATAGTAGTTAAACTGTTAGGTGCGATACTGCTTGCGCACTGGTGTGATATACCGTGGAGCTTAATCGGCTCGCCAGTTTGGCATAGAGCTGGGCTAAGCATTTTGTGTTTGTATGCGTTGAGATCATTAAACCATTGGGTTATGAGCCTGGACCTAGAAAGCTGCTTATTTGATCAAGACCACAATATTAGCAACCAAAGATATTAAGCTTAGTCATTACTGTCTCATAGGGTACCCTGTTATTATGCATAGGCTATGCTGGTGTAGGTATCTGAGGGCACACTCAGTTAGTAAAGTTTTGCTAAGTTTTATGCGATTAGGCTTAGGCCTGACATGACATTAGCTCCACTAACCCTAGTTTTGGTTGAGAGTAGAGTAACAAACTGCCTAGCACTGCAGTACACTTCGTGGTCTAACTTATAACTTTAAACATGAAACATTGTACATTCCGCAGCTGAGTGGGTGAGATGTCCGGCAGTGGCATCGGCCTGGGTTGAGGGGTGCCGTTAAATAGAGTTAGCCCTCGCGAGAAGTGGGCTGCAGGCCCTTAGTTTTGGTGGAGTCAACCAATGTTCTGGTTCGGAGGTGGCAGGGAGTTCTGTAATGTCACCAAGTCAAAGTGAAGAATCGAGTGGTAATGTCACTTGGGATGGGTCTCTTGTAAGTTGCAGGAGAAGTACCGTACTCTCGAGAGGCCAAGGGCAGGTGAGTATGTCCTGGAGTGATGTAGTCGTCAAGGTTGTTGATCCGCGTTGGATCCCTTTGAGCCTCGGGTGGTCAGGAAGAGGGTAAGACTGCAGTGTGTCGTTTTTGGGGGGGGGGTCAATGTTAGCCATTCCTGGGTTTGTTGAGATTCTTGGCTGTTTAGTCGGGCAGGTGTAGGATACTGCGGGTGGTCCCGGCGTCCTTATAATCATTGCCTTAATTGGTGGTAGGGTTGGAGCGTGGGCCCTACGGCTCTTCCTAGGTGGTGACCGAGGCGTATGTGACCGGTGTGTTGTTTCGCGGTACAAAAGGGGGGCAGTTGTCCGGGTCCCAGCTGTGAGCCGGGGTGGTGGGGGCTCGGTGATCTGCTTGGGAGAGAGAGTCCCGCGGTAGGCCCATGGCCTGTAGAAGATCCACTGCGTCCTGTGGGCCGTGGATTTGGTGAGTTGTTTCTCCCTGTTGCACAAGGAGTGTGTGGGCTGACCTCCAGCGGTAGGAGATTTTGTGCCTCTGGAGTGCGGCAGTGAGGGGTCTGAGTGATCTACGCCACGCCAAAGTACCGTTCGAGAGGTCATTATAGAATGTTAGCTTCATATTCTCAAAATGCACAGGAGTTTTTCCCCGAAGGGCAGTGAGGAGCGATGCTTTGTCTGCTCTATTTTTGAAGATAAGGATAGTGTCCCTTGTGGCCGCGTCTGGGGCCCTGGCAGGTTTCGGGATCCGGAATAGATCTGTGGGAGTGATGGGTTTAGTTTGACCTGGGGGCAGTATAGTGGTTAGCAGGCGCCTGATCGTGTGTGGCAGTTCTACCTCCGGTAGCCCCTCCGGGATCCCCCTGACCTTTATGTTGTGTCTCCTTCTTGCGTCCTCCTGGGCGTCCAGGCGTCTTTCAAGTATCGTGTTTTTGCGGCTCAGTTCTTGCACGTCTCTCTGCAATGTGGTTATGGTGCGCTGACTTTCTTGAGAGGAGTCCTCTAGCACAGCCATTCGGCCTATGAGGCCCTGCAGCGTTGACCCTAATGCTGTGACATCCGCAAGGATGTTTTTCTGCAAATCTGCTAGTAGGGTTTTCAGCACCCCTGTGGTCACCAGGTCGGCATCAGGATCTGTCCTTGCTTTGCCTGGTTGTGTCCTTGGTGTTGGGTCAGGGGCTCGGTAGTACTCCTCCTCTGCCCCCTCTGAGCAGTCGTCCGAGAAGTCCGTGCAGCCTCCGTGCAGCGCCGCCATATTGGCCTCACTCGGGCCGCGTGTTTGCCGCCACATTTCCCCTATTGTTAGTCCTGGGGTTGTTTTGTCCGGCATCTGTTTTTTATTTTTGCGTCCCATCGTGCTTGAGGGGTTCCTATGTGTGGTCGTGGTTAGTGGGGGGTAAAGTAGGCTGTGTTTAGGCTATATTTCTCCGGTTGTAGCACGGAGCTCCGAGGTTTTGCGACCGCTCGTTTCGGCTGTCAGGCTCCGCCCAGATGGTGGTATTTTAACACTTTCCATGCACTAATTCTACCAGCAGTCTTTTTCAAACTTTTGGGTAGTCATTTTTTTGTGTTATTTTTCTCTCACGTTGTACTTTAGGCACGGATTATCAGTTCCTGTTATGTGTTACTGACAAAGAACACCCCGGTATGTGTTCAGCAACATCTCCTGAGTACAACAGTGCCCACAATGTACAGGTTTTATGTTTTTTTGCAAACTTACATGGGTCAAATGTAGGGCTTTCCCCTTTTCCATGTTTGCACATTGTTATTTGCCAGATATGTTTGCTGGGCCTATGTTGCCTTTGAGACCTTATAGCAGCCAATAAATGAAAATTAACCCCATCATGGAATACCATTTGTAAAAGTAAACAACCCAGGTTATTCAAAATGGGGTATGTCCAGTCTTTTCTAGTAGCCACAAACACTGGCCAAAGTTAGCTTTTTTATTAGTTTTTTGCATTTTGTTGCACAAAAACTGCACTTTTTCATCGTCGTGATAAATTTTACTTTTTTAAACACTCATATTTTTGTTCAGCAAATTCTCCCAAGTATAACAATACCCCCCATGCAAAGGTTGTATGGTGTTTTGGAAAATTACAGGGTCAATATAGGGATCACCCAATTCAGTTTGCCAGATTGGTTTGTTGGGTCTGTGTTGCCTTTTGAGACCATATGGTAGCCCAGGAATGTGAAATAACCCCATCATGGCATACCATTTTCAAATGTAGATAACCCAGAGTATTTCAAATGGGGTATTTCCAGTCTTTTGTAGTAGCCACTTAGTCACAAACGCTGGCCAAAGTTAGCATCTTTATTTGATTTTTATAAATTCTTTTTTTAATTCATAATATATATATATATATATATACACATATATATATATATATATATACACACACACACACGCACATGTAATATTTCCTATATATGTATAATATTTTATTTCCTATATATGTATAATATATTATAATCAAGGCATTTTATAATATAGTATACATATATAATATATGTATCGCAAAGTACACTTATAATGAAATCATATATATGCATTATATATGTATACTATATTATAAAATGCTTTAATTATTTTATAATATATTATACATATATATGTATAATATATTGTGACAGAACGATCTGTCTGTCTATTATGGTGGATTTGTCTATTTCTGCCCCCTTTCGTGTAAATGGCTGTTTCTATAGCCCAGCCATACGAATGACTGTTTTTTACCGAACAAATCTACTGAACGGATGGCCACCCAGGATAGAAGTGTGCTGCTGGTTAACCTCTTGATCCCAATTAGAACGTTGTGGTTAACCGCAGACACTTCTCAATTAAACCGAATTCAGGGTGGTCGTCGTTCGTATGTCGACCACGAGGCAGCGGCCATTTTAAAACACACGAAAGCCCAGCGGTGTTCGGCACTGATTTCATGGAACTAAAAACGGACACTTTTTCTGCTGAACACCGCTGAAACAACGGGTCGCCTGGCTGCCTTGACGAAAGCGTATGAACACCAGCCGTTCGGGAGTTTTACAGCACACGAAAAGACTTAACCTAGATAGCCTTCCCATGGAGTCAATCGCATACCGAAAGACTGTAAGAACTTTGACTCCATGGCGATTGAACTATGTGTGTGGGATCTGAGCGCTATTCGCTAATAATATGCCCTCAGATCCAGGCTATCTGGGGATGTGTGACACGAATGAGAAATGTTCGGTAGTTGTAGAATTATATATTTTTATGTGTTTTCTGGCATTTTAGTTAAGATGGTGATTTGTCTTTGTCCTGGAGATAATTGAATTACTTCTCAATTATCTCCAGGGCAGAGGGGAGGAAACCATATTGCATTGTGGGAAAAGTTTACTTCTGTATGTCTGAAATGTCCCCATGTCAATCTGTCATTACAGTCTCCCATTTGGTCCCCTAGGGGAGTGTCCACCAAGTGGGAGACCTGCATAAATACGGGCGGGTAGCCCACAGTAAAGCCAGATCCTGTTTGATGCTCCTCAATGCGGAGCTTCTGTCTCGTTATTGGGGGGATTTATTATTTGTGCCTAGAGACTGATTATTGGAACCGAAAGCCGCTTGGTGGATATCTTTGTTCGGCGGTTAGCGGCGGTTACATGGCATCAAGGGGGCAGACAACTATTATTTCTTCTCCCGCTTAAACTTTGGGTCAA